TTAGCATATGGCTTACTGATGAAGGTCTCTCTCTCTCTCTCTCTCTCTCTCTCTCTCTCTCTCTCTCTCTCATCTCTCTCTCTCTCTCTCTCTCTCTCTCTCTCTGTCTCTCTGTCTAATCTCTCTCTCTCTCTCTCTCTCTCTCTCTCTCTCTCTCTCATCTTTTGCCTGCAACAGGATTTTCTTTGCAATGGAGTTGAGGAATTTTGTTGATGCAAGGCTTTCAGCAGCTTGTGGCAGAACTGGAGCATCTTTTGCGGGGGGGGGAGGGGGAGGAGGATTCATCCAAAAAGTGAGCATGGCAGCTGCAACTGTGTGATCCCCACCCTTTTTAATACGTGCTGCATGCCCAACATATATAATAAAAGAACAAAGCTCCAATTACGTGGCTGTGGCCACCATCTTCACTTTTTTATACACACACACCACCTCTGCAGACACTCTTGTATTTGTAAGAAAAAAAAAATAGTGGAAAGTATCAGTGCAAAAAATAATCTAGAGACATTTCTCGGTGACTGACTTTTTCTAAGAGGTGAGTCAAGAGGACTATTCTCTGAGAAATGTTTGCTGAGAATGTATGAGCTTGGCACTAACTATGTCTAATTCCCTCTCATACCAACACTATGCCCATAACCTATGCATAACTGATTTCAGTATGAGAGACTAATGGCTTACCTGATCCTTCTGTTTCATGATGGGTGTTCTCATCCTGTGTCTCTATACAATAGCAGATGCCTCTTTGCAGATTCTTCATTACACCACATAACATGGGGTTAAGGTTAAAATATTATGGATGGCAGAATACAATAGTTACCTTCTCCAATTTAAGCAGATTACATGAACACTTCCCTGTGAGTTTTTAAGTCTCTGAAACAACAAAGCTTTACATCTGTTATAGTGGTTGCTAGGAAACGGATAACAATATCCTGGAAAATGTAATAGATGTGCTGGCCCTCAGTGCTCCTGTGATTAGTTAGCAGCCAGTATAAGTTTGTTGGGAATGAAGAAATATTATATCTGCTGCTTCCAGCCACTGGAGAGAGGGAGAGAGAAGGGTGAGGCATTGTGTCAAGGACAATGGAACACAATTTTCCTCCCATTCCTCTTTCCAACTCCATGAGTCTATTAGGGTAAGTGAAAAGTTGGTATTCCTGTATTCCCTGAGGAAAAGTTTGATTCTGAGTGAAATGGTGCTGAATTCTAACCTTACGGAAATATAACTCTGTTACATAGTAGAGAGTGGCACAGGAGCAGCGGTCCCCACAAATAGCCACACCATCTTGTTTGTTAGACATTAGCCTCCAATGGTCATCTTTGGTCCAGTGCACCCACTTCTGGTCTTCCAGCTGAAGGGTGTTTGACTTCATTGAGATGGAGATTGGCGTCCAGGTCAGGAGAGAGTTGTTGGCAGAATACCTCACGTGGGGCTCCTGGTAAGGTGAGTAAGAGCAAATACGGATGCAGCATGATCCAAGGCATTTAAACAGCTCTCTGATCAGATTGTCAGAATCGTTTTATCCGGGGGACACAGACAGGCATCATCAGTGAATCTTGTTGGGAATGCTTTATGCTGATACCAGCCCTGCTTGAGACCACGCAGAGGCATCATTGAAACAATTCAGCATCTTTTTGTGGACGGTACCAATAAGGCAAAGGTGATTTGTGGATCAAATATGGGTACAAACAATCATACAAAGTGTAGACTTTCACTCCACAAGGGAGCTCTTACTCATTTATTCATGAGATCTGCCAATGATGCCTCTAATGGCCCTGTACAAAGGCCAAGAAGCCTATGAATTGGGGCACAGGGGTGATGTTCCTGGAATTGGCACCCCTTGGGTTGCATATCTGCTGCATCTGGATGGTCCTTTTATTTAAAGCCTCAGATTTCTTTTGGAAATACCTTTGTTTCCTCCCACTTTGATATTTATGAATCATAGTATGACTCAGTGTGATAAGACACAGTATCTAATCAGTTGCAATAAATATTATTTGGCACACATGCAAGGGGGCCTTTTGTGTTTCCTTTAGGTGTGACAGTTCTGGGTATTTGTAATGAGAAATGTAAATGAACATGCAATTAAATGTTGCCTTTCCGCAAAGGGCATTTACTGAGGTTAAGCAATATACACCTGTGGGCTTAGAAAAAGAATGGGAAGCAAACCTGAAAAGTCTGGCTAGGAAGAAAGATCTCATCTTGAAATCTTGGGTGACTGAGAGCAGAGGGAA